AGTAAGTCAAGGCTTGAATTTTTTTCTTTAATTCCACCAGCTTGAGAAACGCTGAGCATGTTTTTCCTTTTTGGTTTTCTGATTCCAGATCTTTGCACATTTGTTGTAATATTTGGCTTTATCTTCTCGAGCTGACCTTTGAAATTTTCTGTTCAGCACTTGGACCTCCTCATTTCTTCCATTTGCTTTAGCACCTCTATGCTGGAGAGCAAATTTCAGTGTCTCTTCTGACAACCATTTTGACCTCTTCCTTCTTTCTTAATGACTTTTTGCTTTTCTTCCTGTATGATATTCTTGATGTCATCCTACAACTCTTCTGTGCTGGGAGCTGTTGAGGGTAGAGAACGGCTTCAATTTGCTGCTTGACACAGTTCCAGCAAATAAGAAGAGTCATCTTGCAAGACAGATAGCTTTCAGAAGTCACTTTCTACTTTCTCTTTAAATTTACTTATAAACATATGCTTCTTGGACATATTTAGTGTTTATCTGTGGCATTAATACTTAATTGAGTGTGTGTTTTGATATTTTTTATGCTTTCTGATTGTCTCCAGGTAGATGTGATCAGGATGTGGGCTTCCCTTTTCACTATTCTTTTTGCTTAAGTCAGAGTAACTTTCACAGGTGTTGTCTGCCTCCCTAGTGTATGGCAGTTGGTATTGGTTCTTGCCTAGATTTTGGTGTTTTATAGAGTGTGATTGCAGCTTGACTATATGGCAGCAGTTGCTGTCTCTTCTTAGGTAATATAGGGAGAGAAAGAGTTCCCCAAAGGTAAAAGGGGGAGCATAAAACAGCAAAACAACAACAACAACAACAAAAAAAAAAACCAACAACAAAAAAACTAGGTTGACTACTGTCATCTATAATAGCAGAAAAGGGAAAAGACGGAGAGAAGGAAACAAAAAAATCTGTAGCCTAATATGAGTATGATTTTAATGTGCCCTTTCAGCTTCTTGCCTTCAAGGCCACCTGATAAATTTCAAGATGCCATTGTTGGTTTTTAAGCTGTACCTTAGGATTTAATTTAATTTTCGGCCTGTTTTGTTTTTAAACTTTCTTTCCCTCTCCACACCCTATGTTCTGGCTTTTCCCTATTAAAAAAAAAGTTCAGGGCCAGTTCTTTGGCTGCTGGTCTCTAAATGCTGAGAGTATCTGTGCGTTTGCGCGTCAGAACCCACCAATGGTGGGTGTGGTTGGTGTCCACTCACTCTGGCAACCCTTTTATTCACCAGAATGGAGGTGAGCAAACAGTAGGGGGCCAATGAACAGATACCAAAAAAAAAAAAAAAATCAGGACAAAGTATATTGTCCACCTTTGTTACAAAGTTTCCATGGTATTATTCAATGGTGTATTTGCTCCCCCACTTGGTCTTGCCACTTAGTCTTTCCCAAGTTGTTGGTTCCAGTCCGCCGTGCCTGGCAGATTCAAAAGTACATAATTTCTTATTTCAGCTACAAGTTCCACTAGCTATAAGCCTTCAAACTTTTAAAATATCCCTACCTATGTGGTTCAGAGTTTTGGAGCTCTGCTCTGAACCCACTAAAGGGAGTAATCTATTTATCTGCCTGTCTCTCTGTCTATTTTCTATCTTCTGTCTATACACATGCAATTATGATATAAGGAAGACTATGATAAACATAAGTTCAAATAATCTGTAAGAAGAGGGAAGGAAGACAATCTTTGGGAACCTGGGGCAATTACTTGGAGGAGGCAGGTTTTGAGTTTGACTTTGAGCTTGGCTTTGAAGGATATAAATTCTAGTGCATAGAGCAGTGCCTGGCACATCTTGTTGTTGTTAGGTGCTGTCCAGTAGGTTCCGCCTCATACCGACCCTATGCACAACAGATCGAAACACTGTCTGGTCCTACACCATCCTCAAAATCATTGTTCAGCATGAGCTCATTGCTGCTGCCACTGTCCCAATCCATCTTGTTGGGGACCTTATTCCTTTTTGCTAACCATCTACTTTATCAAAGATAATGTCCTCTTCCAGGCACTGATCCCTCCTGATAATGCGTCTGATGTATGAGAGACAAAATCTCGACATCCTGGCTTCTAAGGGGCACCCTAGCTGTACAGATTTGCTTATTTTTTTGGTAGTCCATGGTACTTTTAATATTCGTTGCCAAAACCAAAACTCAAAAAGCTGCAAAGCCCAACAAGCTGAAAAGCCTCTCGATTGTATTCATTTCTTCGTCCGCTGATTCCGTGTATCCTCTCGTGTCCCACTACCCCTGCAGAGAGCTGATCTCCCCGTACTTCTGGTCTTCTGTCTTTAGTGTTTAATGTATCAAATCTGTTCTTCAGATGATCTCTAAACTCAGGTAGGACATTTTCAAGGTCATATTTTGGCTCTCGCGGACTTGTTTTCATTTTCTTCAACTTCAGTTTGAATTACATATGAAGCTTCTAAACACCTAGACTCCTTTTATTTCCAATTGCATTAGTAGTGTCTATACAGGACTTCATAGGTATAATTAGGTTACATTTAACAAATGTTTGTTGACTCAATTCCATGATTTTTAACACATAAATAATCATGTTTGAAATCTCTAGTCTGTCATTTAAAGTCCTTCACATTCTACCTTCACCTTCTTTTTCTAAATTGATCAGTGTTTCCTCTTTTTAAATCTGCTTCAACAAAACTTTACTATACACTCTCTCCTAAAAGTCCTGTGATCTGTCCCATCTCCATTTCTTTTCTCTAGCTAATACATTAGTGTGTCCACTTCCTCTGTGCTATAATAATTATCACAACTTTCAAAACTCACTGAAGACCCCCAACCACTGTCATAAAGCCTGTATACCCAAATAACCTTCTCTTCAAATTTGAAACTTCTTTGCATAAATAAGACAGGACTTTAAAAGTTTATAGAATTTTTTCATTATCTTTGAATTACATTTTTCATGAACTTTTTGAAGCTCCCTTATATGCTTACCATTTACTTTGCACATATTTTTTACTTTATAACATTAGGACAATGACCATATGTTTCCATTTTCTCAGAACGGTCCTGAATAACACCTGCTGCCCAGTTTGGATGTACTCTTTCATTTTCAAAAGTGTTCCAGTCCGGATCTTAAAAGCTCATAAGCAGCCATTTAAGGTTTCTCCATGTGTGGAAGAAAGAAGAGTGATGAGAACTAAAGATGCCTGAAATCAATAAGTTGATTGTTACTGGTTGATATAACAGGTGAACATCAGTCACCATGACTCTGAAACCAGAACTAGATGGTGTCTGGTTACCACTACCAACTGCTCTAGAAGGGATCACATTATAAGGTCCCAGATATAGTAGAAGAAAATGTGGAACACAACTCAAAATTATAAAATAAGACTGGGCTTACTAGTCAGGAAGAGACTAGTAAGAACCTGAGACTATGGCCTCCAACCACCTTTCAGGTTTGGAATGGAACTCACCTTCGTGGCCCAGTTTTCAGCCAAGCAGTAGATAAGAGTATAGGGTGAACAACAACACTAATAAGGTATGCTCACCATGGAACAGTCAATCATTCAAGATCAAAAAAGCAACATTTACCTAAGGGCAAAGTTGAAAAGGAATGGGAAGAACAGTGAGATGGAAAGAAGAACCACAGGGTGGAAGTGGGATAACTGTTGTTGCATGGAGGGGACTGCAATCATTGAGACTTAAACAAAGTGTATGATTTGTTAGAGGCAAAACTGATGAGCTTCTCCGTAAACCTTCACTCAAGTCACACACAAAAAAGTTTTTAAAAAAATCAAAACTATAGAACAATTCTACTGTCTGGTGGGGTCACTATGAGTAAAAAAATTGATTCAATGGCTCCTAATAAAAACAATGTTCTAAAATAAGATAGTGGTGATGGTTGGACAACTCTGTTGTATGTGTCGAGTCAGTTCTGGCTCATAGTAACTCTGTATAGGCTTCCAGACACACTGGTGGCTTTGTAGGATGAGCACTGGACTGGCCAACCGTGTGGTTGCCAGTCCAGTTCTCACCCTACAGCACCACACCAGGGCCCTGAACAATTCTATGAAATACTAAAAACCACTGAATTGTAACTTTACAGAGTGGATTTTATGATCTGTGAATAATAATCAAAACAAAAAAGCTGCTATTAAAAACAAATGAAAAAAAAAAAAAAAGTGTCCCAGTTTGGATGATGAATTACACTGTCATTCTAATATCTATTCATGGCCTTCTCATACATATATTTAATCTCCTCAACTAGATTTCAAATGTTTCAAGCAAACTTAAATTTCATCCCTTTCAGTATTCAATTACATTTGAATGAAGAAAAAAAGTGAGTAAAATAATACATAATACAATTTAGTTAATGCTTCATTGAAACAGGATAATTCAATAAAATAAATACATAGAAAATTTTAAAATAAAGGCAATTCATATGTGAAAACCTACAGAAGTCAGAAAGACTATTTTTATTTTCTTTTGTCCCACATCTTTATTTCTACCCTACTTTCTGCCTGCACTGAATCTGCCTATCATTCACCTTTGGCCATACAGCCATTCTATTTCTAAATGTGCCATCACTCCTTTTCCTGAGCTACTTTTTAACCATTCTTCCAGTCTTTACTTTGGCCAAAATAACTTGAAAAATCAGAAATGCAGATAAATGGGAGCCAATTAAGAGAGACAGTACTCTACTTTTAAAGTAACATTTAAGATGTTAAACTTCAGTTACTCCCTTAGATGTGACATTCTATTGATGCTTCATTTATTTATATATTTATTTAAAGAAAGAAAATTTAATGGAGCTCTGGTAGCATAGTGGTTATGAATCAGGCTGGGAACCGCAAGGTCAGCAGTTAGAAACTAACAGCTGTTACACAGGAGAAAGATGAGGCTTTCTGCTCCCATACAGACTTACAGCCTCGGAAACCCTGTACAGGGTAGCTATGAGTTGGAACCGACTCCATGACACACAACCACCAAAGGTTTTTAAATTAATAAACACCATAATCTATATATTGTTTTATCATTTTTTAAAGCAGACTTACTTTTCAGTTCTACTTGGTTTTTCAAAAAACAAAGTGTCCATAGAAAAAAAGCAGTCATTTGATTTCTGCATTGTTGAAGCTCTGAAAACTGTAAGGGAGGGGGGGAGAAAGTTTTTAATTTTATTTACAAAGATGTAGAAAAATATTTTGGATAAATAAACTATAATTAATAATTTCCCAGGATGTCCAGTAAAATATAACCACAGACTACCTTTCTAACTTTATTTTCTGCAACTTCTTCCAAAGTACCTCTAAGTGTTCAAATAGATTATTCTCTGTTCTACACTCATTCATGCATTGTCACACTTGTAGGCCTCTCCTCAAATTGCACCAATGCCTAGAATGTGTTTTTTTTCCATTCCCAAATGGCAAATCCCTACTCATCCTCAAAGGTATAGGTCAAATGTCATTTCTTCTTCAAAGACTTCTCTGAATTTGTCCTCATCCCCAAAGCAAAATCAAATCATTCCTTTTGGACTCTAATGCTACTCTGTTTATCCTCTATTACAGAACTTAGAGGAGAGTAGATTTTATTGTGAATGTATGCATCTCTAAGAATATATGTATCTAAACAATAAATAAAGAAGTATGCCTTATTTATTATGTTCAGTATAATTTTGGTGGTGGTGGTAGTAGTGGTTGTGTGCCATCAAGTCAGTTTGTACTCGTAGTGATCTTGTATAGGGTTCCTGAGGCTATAAATCTTTATGAGAGCAGAAACCAGAAACCTTCATCTTCCTCCCATTCAGTATCTTTAAGAATTAAAAAATATAAACATCACTGACATAGTATACCAATTTATACATGTACTGACTTTCACAAATTAAAAGAATTAATTTTGATGTAATCTGCATGTATTTATGTATCTCCTGTTCTCGTTCTGTGTGTGTGTGTCCCTCTCTCTTCATGGTCCTATCCCCACCCTATCTCATAAACACACAGCCAGAATGCAAAATTTTAGTAGCTGCTCAAAGGGATAGTCAAATTCTAGAACATAATGAACCAAGGTTCTGAAGAACTAGCTGATTTAGTTTTCCATAGCGTTTTTCCTATTTTGCTTCCTTTTTCTCTTTCTCATGATGGTATTGGTTTGTCTTTGTCTTCACAGATTTCATGCTGACCCTGCAGGAATTCTACCAGATAATCTGCATGGCTTGCAAGAAGTACTTCTCAAAATTGTTCTATAGGAAGACAACAGGTGTTTCAAGAGATAAAGGTGTTTTACTGTCAAATAAATTTGGGATACACTAGGTTAAACAGAGTTCAACAGGATTTTTATTTTTTATTGGTAGATAAGACCTTTAATGCAATAATGTATATACTGAATCTCAAAATAGGGATTCAAAATACATCCTAGCATTTACCAAATTTATTCACCCTCACTTGCAGTTTTCTTCTAAGCATTCCAGGAGACCAATGTATGTCAGAACATTTCTTTCATTCTTTAGTAAATATTTATAGAGAAACTATTATCAGTCAGATATTAGAAAATGATATTTTATTGGTCGGAACCGACTCAACGGCTCTTAACAACAACAAAAAGACAACCTTATAAATCCTAAGAGTTTTATGCTTATCTTCAGGAAACTCACACTAATTGTTTAAGGATAGTTTGTTATTTCTTCCGGAGATATCCTCACAGATTAATGTGCATATCTTTTATCATCACAGAATACATCACTCATTTTTGTCTTCTAAATACACAGGCGATATATCTTTTGCTTCTCTTTTTTATCACCTAGTAGAACAGCACGGTATGGCATCATACGATAAGCACTGGATCGTAAAGTCAGTTTGAAATGTAAGGTTGGCAGTTCAAGCTCACCAGCCACTCCTCAGAAACCCTATACAGGGTCATTATGAGTTGAACTCAACTTGACAGCACCTAACAACAACAACAAGTACAACACAGTCTTTTTGATAGATTTTTTTCCATTTTTATTACTGCCTTGATTACACATGCTTGTAAAATAAAAGTCTATTCAAACACTAACTAGCACAGTATATGACAAATGGTAAATTTTCTCAAAAATTTGGTAAGAAAGGCTTAAATCTGGTAGACTTTTATATAATCCTTACTCCAATAGTTCTCTTAAACATAATTCTTTTGTATATAAGTAGAGTAGGATTTGGGGACGTTCTAAGTTATATGGTGTGGTGCTGTGGGTTAATGCACTGAACTGCATTGTCGGTTTGAACTTTAAGGTCAGTGGGTCAAGCTCACCAGTCATTCCTTGGAAACCCTATAAAGGGTCACTATGGGTTGAAACTGACTCAATGGCACATAACAACAAAACAACAAAATACATATATATGTGTGTATGTGTGTGCTTTTAAAGTAAATTCTTTCTACAGGCATTTTTTTGATATATTCTTTACTTTGACAATGACTGTTCTTTATGATTTAGTCCAATGGATAAGAAACTTTTAAAGAAAGTTTTGCATTCTTATAAAATCACAACTCATTTATTGAAAACTTCATTTTTATTTCTTAAAATGATAGCTAAGGAGATAGATAATGAGAAAAAACTTAAATATAAATATTTGCAATTTTAATATATAACAGAAGACACGTTACTGAAGATTGGTAGTTGGTGAACAACACATCTTCCCAAAGTTTGTATATCTAAAAACTACACTGAATCATTTGCAGATTTCCACTACTATATTAAATTTCATACAAAGCCTGTGTTTTTTATTATTTAATATACTTGTTTTAGGTTACTGATGGTTTTGCCAGTATTTAATGTTATCTAAATCAGAGAATAATTACCAAAGATGTAGTACAAGACTGGCAGTTACCTGGTGAAATAAGCTCCTTTGTATATGCAAATGTTCTAAATTCCTGAAACCTATATAGCAGAAGTTCAATTGTTTACTATATTACAGTAATAAACAACAAATCTTCATCTTACTTTCTATTTCTAAGATTTACCAGATATATTTATTTACTACTGCCTTCTCCTCTTGAATTCAGTGAATAATTTTTTTTAATTATATTTAAAGTTGATAATAAAGAATATGGTGGTGGTGGTATGCCACGGAGTCAGTTCTGACTCACAGTGACCCTGCATAGGGTTTCTGAGGCTGTGAATCTTTACGGCAACAGAAAGCCTCATCTTTCTCCCACAGAACAGCTAGCAGTTTTGAACTGCTGACCTTGAGGTTAGCAGCCCAACTTGTAACCACTACACTATCGGAGTTCCTAACAATGAATATATATACCTTAAAATAATATTTAATATTAAAATAATTATTATTCTTTTTAGATATGATACATAAGCTGTTTCTCAAATGAGCTCTTTTGTTTTAGAGTTACACGCTGAAATAAATTTGCTTCAAAATAAAGGAGTGGAAAGGTATAGATGAAACAACATTGGCAATGAGTTGTCAATTGATCAAGATACATCATAGGTATATGGGGTTCATTACAATAGTCTCTATTAATTGAGAAGTCTTGTGGTGCAATGGTTAAAGCACTGGGCTGCTAACCCAAAAAGGCTCAGGGTTTGAACACACCAATCAATCTATAGAAGAACAATGCTCTGGTGGTACCATATGTTATGTGTTGGACTGCTATCTACAAGAACAGCAGTTCAAATCCACTAATAGCTCCTAGAGAGAAAGATGAGGCTTTCTGCTCTGGTGAAGATTTACGGCCTCAGAAACTGTCTACAGGGCTACTATAATTCAGATCTGACTCAACAGCACACAACCACCACCACTTATTGTACACATTTGAATTTTTCCCAAATTAAAAATTTTTTTACAAGTTTAACACACACACACCCCATATAAAAGATATTTTTTTACATTAAGTAAAGTTACCAAAACATAAAGGATAAAAACATTCAGCTCTGGAAACCTAGAAATATAATAAAAATCTAGGGCTGAACAAAGACTTGTATGTGATATAAGACAGTAGCACCATTTCTATAGACACATTGCTTCTTTCACAATGCAATTACTTTCCCTGCACATCAATATAGATATTACATTTCAATTTTTTTCTAAATTATGAAACATGATAGAATATTCTATAAGGAAAAACATGAAATCACATACACAAATAAACGTAAATCACATTTCTATTTATTCTGAAATTCTTAAAAGATTATAAATCTTTCCTCAGTATAGAAACTAAAAATCAAAGAAACTATGAGCACCATCTTGTGGAGAAATCCACATTACCAAGTCAGATTGTTGTGTACCGTCAAACTGATTCCAACTCACTAAGTCTCTCCAGTTTTCGAGGAAGGAAGAATGTTTCATCATGCAACCCCTGAGAAAATGAAACTAATAAAAGGGTTAAATCTGTACACATGCTAGGACTCCTCTGATTGATTCCAAATACTATGTATTTTTTCCATTGTTTTAGTTATTGAGTTTCTCTCCTACTATCTGGTTAACTTAACTGTCCTCATCATTTTTCTCAAGATCTTAATCATTCTGTCAGTAGCAATATATATATATAAATAAAATAAAATGTGTGACTCTATAAATGTTAAAACAACTTAACTATATGAATGATGGAAACTTGGAATAATAAGGAAAGAAGCAGATCATTCAGACACCTTACACTAATGAAATCTTCAACATCTTCAAGTACACAATTTCAGAGCTTAAAAAAAAACACACAAAACTATTAGCAATTAAATGAAGATGCTAATCATGGCTTTTTATTATCCAAAAATTAATTCTGTCTAACAATTGTAGTAGTACTATATATTTTTAAATAACAAAATATCTTTTTCTAAATTAAAATTCACCAGATCACGTTCAAATGGCTTTCAGAATTTAAATAGAAAAATTTGTAATTCTGAGGGCAATGTTCATGTGATTAAATTCTTTATTCTAAAAGAAACTGAAAACAAGATGACCGAACTATAAATTTAAAATATTTGTTTCAGGAAAAAAACCACCAAAAACAGTTTTATAAACTGCAAAGTCCCTTATAAAACAGTAAATATTTTCAAAAGAACATTTAGTTCAATCTCTAGTGTTAGCATGAAAGAGTCTAACTTGTTTTGACTCAAAATAAAAGTATTGTGTGTATATTTTAGTTCTTGTGCAAAATAAACACACCCTCTCTATAAAATTCTCTTTCTCCTTCTTCATTGTTATTCTTTATAACACTATCTGATAGCTGGTATTATATGTTTCGTTGTTTATTAACTTTCTCCCTCTAGAGCATGCAGGAACTTTTTTATGGCATTGTAGAATAAGCACTGGACTGCTAAATGCAAGTTGGGTAGTTCAAACTCACCAGCCACTCTTCAGAAACCCTATACAGGGTCACTCTGAGTTGTAATGACATGATGGCACCTAACAAAACATTCCAATTACAAGAACGTGGCCAGGCACATACTGTTGTTGTTAAGTGCCGTGGAGTCGGTTCCGACTCATAGCAACCCTGCACAGGGTTTCCGAGGCTGTTAATCTTTACGGGAGCAGAACGCCTCATCTTTCTCCCGCAGAGCAGCTGGTAGTTTCGAACTGCTGACCTTGCGGTTCGTAGCCCGATTCGTAACCATTAAGCTACCAGAGCTCCTTAGATACTCCATAATAATTCACTGTGGAATAACTGCATTTGCCATGATTGTTGCTGTTGTAGTTGTTAAATGACAGGGAGTGGGCTCAAATCATAGAGAGTGACCCTGTGTAGGATTTCTGAAGAGCAGTTGATGGGTTTGAACAGCTTATCTTACAGCACCACACCAGTACTGCCAGCAATGACTGTTGTTGTTAAGTGCTGTGGAGTAGGCTTTGATGGCTAGTTTATAAAAAATAATTTTAAATAAAAACAATTCAAGATCATGACAAACTATGGACAACATGGCGAAATATGAGTATTCCGGAACACTTAGTTGTGCTCATGAGGAATCTGTACCTGGACCAAGAGGCACTTGTTCGAACAGAAGAACATGGGAACACTGAACAGTTTAAAATTAAAGGTGTGTGACAAGGTTATAGTCTATCACTATACTTATTCAACCTGTAGGCTGAGTTCCATTCTGGAACTTAAAAATTTATCCCCAAATCTTTTATGTTCAGTTTTAAAATGTGAATTGTTTTTGTTGTTAAAGTGCCGTTTAGTCGGTTCTGACTCATAATGACCCTATACAGGGTTACCAAGGAGCGGCTGGTTTGAACTGCCGATCATACAGTTAGCAACCCAGTGCTTATCCTACAAGGCCAAACCAGGGCTCTGGATGCTTTCTAGCTCACATAATGCAATAAAATCATGAAGGCTCAAAAAGACGATGAATTTGGCACTCTCATTGTGTGAACAGATCTTTTTTAAAAAAATACATAAAGCCCTAGAGGGACGCTGCACCCTATCAATGTGAGTTTGTGGTGTTAGGGGTGCAACATTTTCACTTAAAGAAATTTAAGTTTTAGGTTTAGGCTTGAATTTTTGGAATAAATTTTTTAATTACCTATTCCAAGTTTTTAATTTCAGCATGTAGATAAAATTATATTGCAAAACAAGAAATGATATCATTCCAAATATTTTTTATGAATGTTTGTTCCTAATATAATGTTGTTTTTGTTAGGTGCCATCGAGTCGATACTGACTCATAGAGACCTTATGAATAATTACTTACAAATTATGTTTAAAATTTTGAATTAAAATATGGTTTGTTGCCTGGGATGTGACCTGAACCCTTATCTAATTATCTTTGTGACAACTGAGCACCTATCACCTATGTTGTTGTTGTGTTGTTGAGTCAGTTCCCACTCATAGCTACTCTTTATGGGATATCCAGAGAGTGGCTGGTGGGTTTGAACCACTGGCCTTGAGGCTAGCAGTTCAGTGCTTCTCCTGCAGCGCCACTGGTCCTAAGTGATTGCAGAATGCTTTCGTATCTATATGTTATTCCGCACAGTTTTCACACTAAGAAATATACTCCTTATTGCAAAAGTACAGAAACTTCGGTATAATTCTGGGTTTGTTAGAAAAATCCATGATGAAAAAGCCCAAGCCAACATTCACTGGAAAAACTAACCATCATAAAGAATTGCAGGGATTTTGATCAAGAATGGAAATAAACATGGAAACAAATGTATTAGGAGCCTCCAAGCCTGGGTCAGGAAGGGGGCCGTACTGAGGCGACCCCTCCGTCCAGGGCTCGGACACGGCCGAGGCTCCAGCCGGGTATGAATCAGGGCCGAAAGCAAATCTCCCGGCGAATTTCCAATGGAGCCCTGCTGTGGCGCAGTGGGATTACACTCGACCCCGAGGGCGGCGGTTCAAACTCACCAGTCGAAACCCATAAAAGGCCCTGGACACACTCCCACCGTCCCTAAGAGCTCAGGCCCGGTCTCCGACTGTGAAGGGAGATGATCAAAATGGACGTGCAGGCCCGCCAGCTCAGGAGAGCAAACACACTCAGAACACAAACGCGAGCGGTTCCAGGAACCAACAAAGCAAAAGCGTTCTGTGGGCGGGCCCACAGCCCAGCTCCGGAGCGCGCCTCAGGTCGCGCCCGCCTTCGGACTGGAACAGGACTGAAGAACCTCGAGCGGGCGAAGGCCCTAGGCCGGCGTCTAACAATTCTCTGCGAGGGTACGCTGCCTGCCTGACCTTTCCCAGGTCAAGCACAGCCCAAGGGTCAAGTACAGCCCTCACCTCCCTTCCGAACGCCCTGTCTCTTGGGCCCTCACCTGTCCTCTAAGCGTCCGTGACCCCCAGGGCTCACCTTCCGGAGGCAGCCCCAAGGCAGATTGCCTATTCACCAACCAACCCTAACCCTCACCCTGGCTAAGTCGAATGCCAAGCAATGGATCCCCCCTGACCTTCAGGCTTCGTCGCTTTTTTTGTTGTTACATCTCCCAAAGTTTGAGATTGGTTTTGAATAAACATAAGACTATCGGGTACTGCAAGGATACCGTAATTTATTCTAATAAAATAAAGCTCCTACTCCTGGATTTTACCACCATTCTTCTTGTCAGTTTGTCATACTGTGGTTTGTATGTTGCTGTGATGCTGGAAGATATGCCACCAGTATTTTAAATACCAGCAGGGTCACCCATGATGGTCAGGTTTCAGATGAGCTTCCAGATGACGACAGACTAGGAAGAAGGAGAGACAGACTGCTTCCAAATATTTAGTCACTGAAAACCTTGTGAATAACCGTTAAACCCTGTCAGCACCAGAATACTGAATATTGAGACACGATGAATAGCACCGGGATGTTGTCAGATATAGAGCTGGAAGATGAGTCCCTCAAGTTGGAAGTCACTCAAAACACGATGGGGGAAGAGCCACCTCCTCAAAGTAGAGTTGACCATGATGAAATGGAGGGAGTAAATCACTCGGGACCTTCATTTGCCGGGGCACAACTCAAAATGAGAAAAATCTGCTGCAAACATCCATTAAATAATCAGAATATGGCATGTACAAAATATAAATCTAAGAAAATAGAACGCATAAATATCAATATCCTAGGAATTTATTAGTCAAAATGGACTGGCATTAGCCATTCTGAATCTAACAATCACATGTTTTACAATGCCTGTAAGGACAAATTGAAGAGGGAGGACATTGCATTCATCATCAAAATGAACGTGTTAAGATCTATCTTGAAGTATAGTGTTGTCTGTGTGATAAGATAATATCCATAAGACTAGAAGGAAGACCAGTTAATACAACTGTTATTCAAATTTATACACCAACCACTAAACTCAGTGATGACCAACTTCTTCAGTCTGGAATTGATCAAACATGCAGTTAAGATGTATTGATAACTAGTAGAGATTGGAATGCAAAGTTTGAAAACAATGAAGAAGGATCTGTAGTTGGAAAAGACGACCTTGGTGATAGAAACAATGCTGGAGCTTGCATAATAGATTTTTGCAAGACCAATGACTTCTTCATGCAAATACCCTTTTTAAACATAAAAGATGACTATACATATGGACCTCACCAGATGGAACACACAGAAATCAAAATGACTACATCTGTGGAAAGAAACAGTAGAAAAGTTCCATATGAACAGCCAAAACAAGACGTGGAACAGATTGTGGACCAGACCATCAATTGCTCATTCAGGCAGAAAATGAAGAAAATTAAAACAGGTGCATAAGAACCAAAATTTGACCTTGAAAATATCCCACCTGAATTTAGAGATCATCTCAAAAAGAGATTTGATGAATTAGACACTAATGACCAGAGACCAGAAAAGTTGTGGGATGACATCAAGGACATTGTACAGGAAGAAAGGAAAAGGTCATTAAGAAGACAAGAAAGAAGGGAAAGACCAAAATGGATGTCAGAAGCAACTCTGAAACTTGTTCTTCTTAGTATAGAGATGCTAAAGC